CTGAGTCAACCCTGAGCCGGTGAGATTTGAACCGCTGACCTGCTGATCTAGCAGTAGCCTGCAGTGCTGCATTTAACCACTGCGCCACCTTGGCTTTTGATATAGGTGACTATATACCTGCTTTTAAACTCTGCAGATATGAAACTATTATGAAGTGAATTCTCTATGGAAACCTCCTATAATTTCTAAAAATTTAAACAGTAGTTAGATAGTAGTAGGCATCTACTTTCTAATTATTGCACTGATTAGTTGCAATATCAGATAATTAATGAACCAGATCAATTTATTGGAGTCAGGAAAATAAAAGACGCAATATGATATTGTTTTCACTATAATCACAAACAATATCCAAAGCGTCAATTTTTCTTTGGTTCCAAGACATAACCAGAGCTTCAGGGCCTTTAATCCTCTTCCAGCAGAGCCACCACTGTTTCCACCTTTGTACTTTGAATGACCAACTTGCTCCCAGGTTTTCATGCTTTGCAGAAAAACCATTTATTTATCTCCCAGCTAATCAACACCTACATAAAAACATTGGATGAAGTCACTTAGAGACCTAAAGTAAGATCGCATGGGTAAGCAATATTTGGGTGATATCATAGATTTGATGAACCCAATGGTGGGCTTCAAAAATTGCAGCAATAGGTTTGCTGCCCCATTGCTGGGTGGGCATGGCCATGGTAGGCGTAGCCTAGTCAGCCTCCCGCACCATGGCAGGGGGGGGGGCGTTTTTTCTCTCTCCCCATATGCTCTAGATTTTTTCCTCGAGTCTCTGGGAGGGTGGAAATTGCTTTCTCCTGGGCTCCGAAGGCCCTCCAGAGACCGAAACAGGCCTGTTTCCATACTTCCAGAACCTCCGGTAGGCCCATTTTCCCCTTTACCTGAGCCTCCCCATGGGCCCTGCACTTACCTGGCATGATGAATGGGCCATGTGGAGACTCCTCGGAAGGGAGGGTTGGAGTGGGGCAGGCAGGGGCAGCCGGCGTGAGATTTGGGGGTTCACCAAACTGGGTAGAATCCTAGCTAGAGGATTGCCCGAATCCATGCGAACCTCTCAGCAGCCCACTCCTGGATGAACTCCAATAATTGAAGGTCAGCATGGATAAGATAATTATTGAGTCATCCTACTCTAGATGGGATTCAAACTATGTCAACAATAAAGGGAACTGAGGGACAAAAGTTATCAACGTTGAGTGATACAGCATGTATTTTGCATGGTAACATCCCAAAGTAATTTACCTACTTTTTCAAATAACTTAAATGAATTCCCTACCTCAAAGTGTATGGTACCAAGAGAGGCCATGTATGATAACATCACAGAAGAGCAATGTTTTTCTGTTAGAAGACAAATACAAAAACAATCCCAATTTGATGCTTTTTTATGTTTATTTTATTTTAGTTAGGTGTGTCTAACTTATTGAAGAGAAGATTAGGGATGACATGATAAATGCCTTCTAATACTTGAGCTGCTGCCACAAAGAGTCAATTGACTTGTTTTCCAAAGCCCAGTCTATCCTAGACAGCAGGATAGAAATAAAGGATGGAAGCTTGTTCAAGAAGCTTGTTAAAGATTTCTCCTTAAAACTAAGGAGAAAATTCCTGATCATGAAAACAATTAATAGTCAATAGCTTGTTTCCAGGAGTTGTAGGTGCTCCCTTTTTAAAATGTGTAGGTTTCAACTTTCAGAATTCCCCAGACCACTCTAGACAGCTTTAGTTTCTTTTTGCTGGGACTTCTTTAACTGCCAAGTAAAGTTAAGAAATACTAACGTGAAGAAAAGAGCCTATTATAGTGCTTGAAGCAGTCATAGTAATACTGTTTTGATCTTTCATTTACAGTGCCTTATTTATTTTTATTATAAAGTGATTTTATGCCATTTATTCTAAGTGCCCTGTCCAAATTACACATAGCTCAATGCCTATACACACACGCGCACACGCGCACACACACACACACAGATCTGTTGCAGAACAAGATATGCAAAAAATTACACTGTTTTCTAGCCACTGCTGTTATAAGATAAAGTCTTCTGCATTTGTTATTTAACGCCATAGAGATGGATTTAAATTGCCTTTGCAGTAATCCCTGTTTATTATTGGCTTCTTATGCACTCTAGATGCTCTACTCTTGAATACAGGGCTCATCTGTAAATAGAAAATAGGAGCTGCATCTAACTATTGATTTCACACTCACACAAAATCTTCCCACATGTACACCGTCTCTTATCAAGTGCAGGAGTCTGATTAGGAAATTTTACTTCTAAATTGCACTTACATATTAAGGAACAATGGATAGGGACATATAATATGTCTAAGAATAAGGCCCATTTAATTCTGTGGTATTTATGACAATGTGGATAGAATTATGCCATTGGCTGTGAAAGTAAGCAATATGAGATTCCCATCCTGAGGGAGATAGAAGAATGTGAGTCATTGGATGCCTCTTGGGATGTGGTTGGATTTTATCTTGTTCTGTTTCTAATTTATTGTACACTACCCAGGGCTGCAATGTTTGAGTTGGCCAGACATATAAATTCTATAAATAAGTACATAAATAACTGTTACATTGCCTTGTGTTGCAATATATGTAAGTTTTGTTAGCCGTTTAGAGTTTTGGGATTCCATAAACCCATAAATTAATAAATACAGCAAGATATTTAACCTGCAGCTGGGCCCACAACCTGAAATATACTATTTTTGCAGCATTTCCCCTCAAGCAGCACCTAAAGTACTTAATTGCTGAATTTTCCCAATGTCCAACATGTTGTGGGGAGACAGGAGTCTATGTGAATTCTGCAAAGACAGAAGTCTGTGTATTCTATGCCAAAGGACAGTTTTCAAAAATAAGAGAATCTTATTTTTTGTAACAGGTCTAAACCAAAGCACTCTTAAAGCAAAATTTCTGAGGGAATTGGCAGATATGACCTCAGAACCACTGAACCATATATATCAAAGATCCTGGAACACCAGGGAACTACCAGAGGACTGGAAAAGAGCTGATGTTCACATCTTTAAAAAATGGGGCAGCCATGCATATGGCCTGTGGGTGTGCCCCTGCCGCTCACGAAGAATCATCTCCTCTACTTTCCTCACCGGTCTGCCAGCCCAGAAAGTTTGGAGGGGGCACTGGAATAGGTGGTACTTAGATCAACAGTATAACTGCAAGAGTGATCTTGGTGTTCTAGTGGACAACCACTTAAACATGAATCAGCAGTGCTCTGCATTTACCAGAAAAAGCCATTGCAGTTCTAATTTCCATTAGCAGAGGGATAGAATTAAGACTGCATTAAGTGTTAATACCATTTTATAATGCCTTGGTAAGACCACACTTGGAATATTGCATCTAGTTTTGTTTGCCAGAATATAAAAAGGATGTTAAGACTCTAGAAAGAGTGCAGAGAAAAACAATAAAGATGATTAGGGAACTAGAGGCTAAAACATATGAAGACTGGTTGCAGGAACTGGGTACGTCTAGTTTATTGAAAAGAAGGACTAGGGGAGACATGATAGCAGTGTTCCAATATCTCAGGGGTTGCCACAAAGAAGAGGGAGTCAAACTATTCTCCAAAGCACCTGAAAGCAAGACAAAAAGCAATGGATGGAAACTAATCAAAGAGAGAATCAACCTAGAACTAAGGAGAAAATTCTTTACAGTTAGAATGATTAATCAGTGGAATGGCTTATTTCCAGAAATTGTGAGTGCTCCAACACTGGAGTTTTTAAGAGATTTGGACAACCTTTTGTTTGAAATGGTATTGAGTTTCCTGGTTGAGAAGGGGGTTGGATTAAAAGATCTCAAAGATCGCTTCCAACTCTTGTTCTATTTTAAAAAATCAAAGTAGTAAAAAAGTCCCAAAGGTGTTTTGGATTTTCTTTTCTTTTTTTAGGACAGTTCGCTTCTCATCCAAGAAGCTTCTATAACTCTACAGGATAGTGGGGAGTGGAAGGATTTCTGGATTATTGCTATTTATCCAAAGTAATATGTGTGAAAACACTCTGGGATGCTATATGCTCGTGCTTTACAAGTCTGGATATTAGTTATAATTATCAAAAAACTCATCAAAACTCATACAAAAAGACAATAATGAGTTTGCAAAATAAATTCGGTTGATATTATAGAAATTTTGAGCAATCAAAACTGTGCATAAAATTAACTTCTCTTTCAAAAGGATGAGAAACCTGTTGCAGATATCATTTGCCAGCTGAAACTTGCAAATTGGGGACAAAGGTCCAATTTCACATTACAAATGCTGACGTGTTATTTTGATTTCCGTATAGGCTTAATAAACTGTAATATACTAAATTTAATCCGTTTGTAAGAATGAAAAGTTGAGACAACTGACGATTCGTTTTTCAAAAATATTTTTAAAGCTAAGCCAGACAATTATATTACTATGCTGTATTCGGAAGTCGGCTGAAGAGGGCGGGGGGCGAAACTCTGCAAGCCGAAGATGCGAATAATCAGCCGGAGCAGGTAGCAGGGCGTTGTGACAACCACCTATCCTCCAGACGAGGGACAGGCAATGCCTGGTTCGACTTGCGGGCACTTGCTAAATCTGTTGGCACCGTCCAGCAGGGGCCGCCCTGGAACAGAGCGCGGACGGCAGCGCCGGGAGCCGCGAAGGGCGGTAAGTGGCAGTGGGCGGTGGACGGAGACCCAGCGAGGGAGGCGTTTCATTGCTGCAGTCTTGGGCGAAAGAAAAAAAAAACCCGCTCTTCTTGAAGTGATCAGAGGAAGTGCTCACAATTCGGGTGGTAGGATTTTTGCCCGCCTCTCTCAAAACCGCACAAGAAAGCGACTCGGAAGCCAGCAAGGCCGCCTTGCCGTTCCAGGACTTCGGGCTCCAGCCGGTGAATTGGCACGACCATGTCTCCTGAAGGTGGCAGGGCACCCTCCCTCCTCTGTCTGATTGTCATAGCTGCCGGTAAGGAAGCGGGAAGTGCAGTTGTTAAATAAAGTTTACCAGCGAAGCCGCTCGCGCGCAGAGCCTTGTATTTAACCAATAAGCAAGTGGCCTGTGTTCGCACTATTCGCTTATGCATAACTTATTCGTGTTTCGCTTCAACCAGTTTTTTGCATTTTCACAACTCGGCGACGAGCTATAAATTAACCGGCTGGATTAGTGTATAACAGCTACGTTAATTTGCTAATTTGTAGTTCAGGCCGTCAGGTATAAGTTATGCAGCTAGCGTGTCAGTGTTAAGTTGCAGCCTATTAGTAAGATCAGAGGCACCAATTCTGGCCAGGTCAGGATATAAATAGAGTTGATCAAAAGCTGGACGTGAGTCAGCAGTTCGATGCAGACGGAAAAAAGAAAAGCTAATACTTCGTTTGAATTAAGACGATCTTATTCTCAAAGTCGTTTGAAATAATAGCTCCACTGAAGACTCCTACCGCACCAAGTGGGTGCATCGCCGTGGAAGAAGATCGTAGAAATAAGTAAAAAGAGTTCAGGAGAAAGTGTAAAGATGATGGGCCGCTAGGTCAAAGTCTATAAGGTGAAAGTGAAGTGGGCATGATCAAGTCTGGGGGAGAGAAGGTGGAAAGATGAGGCTGGATGGCAGATATTCTGCCAATATCCGAAGCCTCTTGCGCAGATTGGGGCAAAGAAGGCAAGGTTGTTAAAGCGCTGGGTGGGTGGCTGGGGGGGGGTCGTCACTTTATAGTGGTAACAACTGTTCAACGACGACGCCAATTACCACAGGAGATAGATGTCTCTGCCCTCCCCCTCCTCCCCTTTCTCGATAAGACAGCCATCTGTTGGACAAGTTGTATTTCTGGATATTTTACATTAAAAGAGTGCTGTAGCCTTGATCGCCTCAAAAATTCTCATCCATTCTCTGGCAACATAACACAAATGAATTTTTTGAAGCTGCTAGCCAGCATGGGTCATCTGAAGATCCTTTCAGTTGATTTGTTGTGTAAAAAAAGAAAAAGAAAATACAACACACACACCCTCCCGTTTTCATTTTAAAGCCTGCAAATTACAGATTTTTCACTTGAAAATGAGTTATGGTCCTAAGTCCTAAGTATCAGACATAGTGGTATGAGGCATGGAAATAGTTGGTTAGAAATACCAAGCAAATAGAATATGCTTTTCTAATGGAAATGCTAGAACTGAAAAGATAATGTCAAAAGAATATGCTATTTCAAGTTCTCTTTTTAAAAAGTGTGTGTGATGGGAGGGAGGGGGCAGAGGATTGAGGGCAAAGCTCTTCAAAGAAACCACACAGAGAAATCAGAAGGTGGGAGAGATAAAATTGGAGAAACCAAACTTAACCATTCCAAACTACTTTCATAATGAGAAAGGCAAGTAGTGTAGTAAACAGCAGGAGATCTAGATGATGGCATGAAGAATAAGTACAAGGATTCTATTTGATTTCCATTTAAGTTAAATTGTTGCTGACAATTGGCTCTGTCTAATATATTTGGCTTTGTCTAATAGGTGTGTTACTGCAGGCATATATTTTAATTTATTCTTTATAAATCCCGATTAGTTTGCCGCAATTTAGAAGTTTTATATCATAATAAAACAATGCATTTTAGCAATCATCATATGTATAGTCCAACATTGTAGGTGTAAAAATTATGTAAACTTCTGAATGTTTATGAAAATGTACTGATGAGTCCATTTCACTGTGGTACTGTGATACAGCAGTTGTGTTACTTATATTTCCACTAGCATTTTCTGCAATAAATACACAGCACCCTGTGATGTGCACATGCAGCTAGTTCTCAACCGGGACCGGAACTTCTATTCCTAAGGAAATGATCATTAACTGAATCAGATATAATTTTACAGCTTTTTTTTTGCTAGGGTTGCTAAGCAAATCATATGGTTGTTAAGTGAATCTGGCTTCCCCGTTGACTTGATTGCCAGAAGCCCCTTGGGAAGGTCACAAACAACAATCACATGCCCCCGAGGCACTGCAACCAGTCAAAAATACATGCTGGTTGTCAAGTGCCTGAATTTTGATTGTGTGTCTATAGGGAACTGCAATGGATTGTAAGACACTCTGATGGTCGTAAGGGCAAGGATTGGTTGTAAGCCACTTTTCTCATTACCATAATAACTGCAAACAATTGTTAAATGAATGGTTCTAAGTAGATAACAACCTGCATATGAAAAACACCTTTCTTTTACTTGACACATTCCATATATATTCCTACAATTTGGAAAGTTGAAGAGCAAGATAACTAGAGAAAACTGTTTCAGTGGATAATGAGCAACTAATCAGGTTGACATGCATGGAATTGTACATAACAGAGGTAGAAAAGGTCTCCCCATCCGATAGCTAGCAAGCATGCCTGGAGATATCACATCTATAATGGCACAGTATTATTTTGAGTGAGCATTAATCATATATGTAATTGCTTAAGGTTTTCTTAATTGGGTTGAAGATGTACTAGGGGCATGAGTCTCTAGAAATAGGCAACCATCAGTCTTCATCACTTGATTGTCCTTGAACAACATGGCCTAACTTTCCTTGCTTTTTAGTGAATTTGCATAATTTGGATTTTGTTTATCATGAACAAACAAAGGAGCTGTTGTGGCTTTAAAGAAAGCTTGTTCAGTAACTTTGATTTCAGCAAGTGCTGAAAGATTAGAAAAGTGTTTTTGTTGTTTTATAAAGGCAAATAACTACTAAGATTCCCAAAGTGTTAAACTACTTTTGCTCTCCCATACTGTTAATAAACAGTAATGAAGTGGGAAAGAGAACTACAAGAAGCATAAAGGAAGTACATAAGGTTCTCATTTGGAGATTCCAATTGGGAAAGGTAATTTGGTTGTTAAGCAAAGCAATCACTAAGTAAAACCGCAGCTATGCTTATGGCCTTAGTTCAGCTTTTCTTCACTTTTATAGACTTGGGAGTAAGGCCACAGGTGGACAATGAATGGCCCCTCCCAGAGGAAATAAAAAAGGAGTGAAAGTGGAGTGAAGTTTGCAGAAGACAATTAGTTTGCTTAATTGGCTCATGACTTGCCAAGTTTTGCCAAGTTTTGCAGATACCGCCTTGTCAGCTCTCCAAGCCAGATAAGGTCTGTGACTGTAAATCCTCCTTTGAAAGAATTTGCTGGATGTGAATGAGCAGAATTCACAGTAAATTAATAAAAGGGTTTTTTGTCAGGACAAGGAGTTTGCTTCATGCTCTTGGGAAGCCTCGATCAGAATAGCTATGCAAGAGAGAACTAACTCAAAAATAAACTTCAAATGGTCAGAAGCAAATGAATAATGTATCGATTTATGGTGAACTAACTAAAGAAGTCTATGATTGGGCTCCATTAATGATGTTTATTGAAATTTTTAGGACAGATATCTAATCTGCTAATCTCCAAGTGATAAATTTAGCAGTTTTTCACAGCAGATACCCATCGCAGTATCCTTCCAATATTTATGCTAAAATTTATAAAGATATTATGGTTGCCTGGGAACGGAAAAATATTTTTTGCTTGTTGCCATAATTTGAGGTCCTTTCCTGTGTTATGACAATATTGCTGTTTTGTATATAAAGCAGCCTTGGTACACAAGACTTTCAGGTTGGTTTGAGTCAAGGCATATTTGGTGAAAAGAGTGTAACAATCCTTGCAGGCCCCCAGAATTATACATGCTTGCTTAACGCTGGCTCCTTTTTCTCCAGTGTGCTATATAAGGTAACAGACTTACAAGGACAGCTAGTTATACTTCTCAAATAATCTGCTGTTGTCACTCAGTTCTTATCTTGCATACATTTGGATTCAATAGAGGAATGGCATAGGAGTTTAATCTAGCAACTCCTGTGTTTTATTGCCTCTTGCCAAAGAGAGTTTATATCTGTACTGAGATAAGTATGTGTGTCCATCTGCCAACTGAATGTTAGAATAATACTGAGTATTATAATACAGGCTGGTTGCTGTGGAGAAAATAAGAAAACAAGGAGTTGTTTATAAAAACGATGGAATATAATTTAAATAAATAATATGTGCAGGATTGGCTGCACACTAAATAAATATTATAGCAATAGCACTTAGATTTATATACCACTTCACAGTGCTTTACAGCCCTCTCTAAGCGGTTTACAGAGTCACCATATTGCCCCCAATAATCTGGATCCTCATTTTACCAATCTCAGAAGGATGAAAGGCTGAGTCAACCGTGAGCTGGTAAGAATTGAACTCCTGGAGTGAGCACTAAATTAACCTGCAATACTGCATTCTAACCACTGCGCCACCATGGCTTTCATTATAAATGCAGTTCCCATAATTCCGAATCATTTGACACCCCAATGCATCTGCAAAATATCAGGTAAAGGAAGGTTGCATTTCCGGTAATTTTGAAGCAATTGGAAATATGGAATGGTGTTTCAAACAAATCAAAAATTAATAAAGTTTGCTTTTTCAGATATGCAGTTTGTAGAAGTTTAAACAACAATTTATCCTTAAGTTTCTTTTATATTTTATTGACATTATTAGAGGAGCCCTCAGAAGCAGGGGAAAGCCTTGCATCTTAGAGTTGTATAATTTGTTTTCTGTATAGGAAGTATAATGATCTGAAATTGTACATTGTCTTACATAAAAGTTTCTGTACAGTATTTTCTCTTGGGAGCTAAACAAAAACTCCTAGAAGAGAAAACATGAACCATTCTGTCAGTGGTGAAATCCTCTGAAGTCTGTTACCAGTTCAGTTCAGTAAGTCTGCGTGCATATGTGCCTGAGTTGCGCTCGCACAGGACTAAAAAAGGAACATTTTGAAGCCTTCCGAGTCTGCAAAGGTAAGTAAAACAGTGAAGGGGGGTGGAATCTGCTGTGCCACATAATTTAGATAAGCTAGAAAGCAGAAAATGCGACGATTCTAGTAATATAAATCGCGCTTCACAGGTGATCGTCAGAAACAACGGTTTTCACCTGAACTGGCAGCATTTTTTACTACCGATTCAGGTAAACTG